CGCCCCCCCCCACCTCCCCCCCCCCTCAGACCCCCCAACCCCCCTCCCCCACTCCTTGTCCCCTGACTGCCCCCTCCTGAGACCCCCCCACCCTAACTGCCCCCCTAGGACCCTACCTGTACCCTGACTGCCCAAAACCTTATCCACACCCCCAACCCCCAGATAGCATCCCTCCCCCCGAACTCCCGACCCATCCAACCCTGCTCCCTGTCTCTTGACTGCTCCCTCCAGAACCTCCCTGCCTCTTCTCCGACCCCCTGGCCCCCTTACCGTGCTGCTCAGAACAGAGTGCTGCGGAGCGGCGCTGGGCAGCAGGGGAGGGGGAGCAGGGGGAGGAGCTCCAGACTGCTGGAGGCCCGATGCGAGTGGCACAATCCGGCCGGCTGCCCTGTCAGCCGCGCGTGCTCTGCATGGGGGGGAAATCCGGACATTTACAAATTCCCCCCGGAGGCTATTTTTAACTCAAAAAAGCCGGACATGTCTGGGAGAATCCGGACAAATGGTAACCCTACTTTATGACCGCCACGGCAGAAGCATAACAGAGCCGCTGCTGCCCACATTGCTTGAGCCAGTTTTGGTTGCAATCCGTCCTTCCTCTTTGGATGGACGCTGAGGCTGGGAACTTCTGCCCCAAACAAGATTGTTCCTGGAAGTTCCGCACCAAGTGGGGATTAGACTGGAAATGCTCCGACAGCTTCCACTTCAGGCTGCTTGATCCCCAAATAACTAAAGATGGGGGCTTGACTTTCCTTGTGCTAGCACCAGTTCACTCCTGACGGGAATGGAGAATGGGGTCTCTGGCTCCCTGTGGAGCAGAATGCATGCCAGTGAGGCAGCACAGACATCCTTATGTAGCCAGACCCAGTGTTCCCGAGGGGACAGAGCATGTCCTAATGCTGGGAAGGCTGCTTTGTCCTCAAGCTACATGCTGGAGTGTCTGGAATCTCTTCCCAGCAGAATCCCAATGCATTGGTCCCCTCTCCTTCTAACTCCACATGCAGCCCTTCACCGCCTCCATGCGCTGAATGCTTCAAGCTCTATCCATGGGATCCCAACCCTTCCCAGCAATGAGGAGCTCTGGAACGCCACCTCAGCACTCAGTGCTGGACAGACTCCATCTGAACAGAGGTGAGAATGGGTAGCCTTCCAATGGGGGAAGCAGGGAGGAGACCTGGGCAGCCCCTACAGTGGCTAGAATGCAGAATACAGTGGCTAGAATGCAGAATGAGGGTCAGGGAACCCAGGGAGAGCCCTGCAGAGCCCACATGTCCCATTCTGTGTTGGGGGAGAGGCAATTGAGGGCTCTCCCATAGTCCTCAGTGCCCACTATGCCTGTAGGCATCAGGGAAGCAGCTTTTGGGGGTCTGCATGGACTGGACTTCTTAGCCAAAGGCAAGAACTGTAAAGGGGAGTCCTGGGGAGTGGTTCCCATTTGGGTTTGGCCCGGTCATACCATCCCTTCACCTCAGCCAGTGTTGGAGACAGCAGCAAACATGCCCCAAAGGCCATCCTGTTCTCAGGAACTGCAACATGAAATCCCTTTTCCTGATGGTGATCTAAGGAATTGCTGAAGTCATCGTATTTTAATCCAGGTCCTGGTTTTCTCTCTGTTTTTCCCTTCTTATAACCTAACTCAGCTTCACCTCTGGTCCCAGGCTCCTACCCCATGTCTTTCTCCCTCCTGCCCCAGGCAGAGTTCCAGTGTAGTCCCCTCTCCCTGTGTCTCTTCCCCTCCTGCCTCAGATGTCCACACTAGGGAGAGTGTTCTAGCTAAACCCTTTGCATACCCTCCGGAGTTCAGTATGGGTGGCATGCATTTGACTGAGTGAGGTGTCCATGGTGCTCTGGAACCCCTTTGGCCAGCCTGTGCAGGCCCAAGGTCTGGGTGCATGCCTGCTCTCTTCCCGAGCACTCCCATTGGTGAGTCATACTGGTGCTGCAGCATGGGTCTGACAGTGTGCCACAGCCACTCTCCCTGTGCTGCACTCTGGCCATGTCTACACAGGAACCTCATCACCATCATTTGCAGTAGGTGCTGCTCCAAAGCTGCAGTGAAGTTGGAGCTCTGCCATCTTATCATGCAACTTTGCCTATTCAGAGTAGAACTAGACACCAGGGTAGTGCTTGCCTGCTGCTGCTCCCCCAGCAGCAGTGAATGGCACCCAGTGCTAGTGCAGCTGCTTTATGCCTCACACACTCTCTTCTCCACTCCTCTCCTCTCCCCTCCAGTCCTGTGTTGCCCTTTGCCTCATCTTCCTGAGGATGGTGATTTACTGATATGAAGCTGCTGTCTGAGTGCCTGGAAACAATGTAAATGTTCCACAGTGGCTCTCCCAACTCAACCCCCCCATGCATGACCCATTTAAGGCTGTATACATGCCTGGAAAACATTACTGAGCACTGCTGGCCTGAAGACTGAGCCTAGTGGCTCGGTGCAATGGGCATGTCATCAGCACACCAGCCAGTATAGTCTGGCAAACTACCAGCAGGATTAGAATTTATATACAACTTGTGTTTGCTGCTGGCGATTGGATGCCCAGGTGCTCTTAGCTGATGAGGGCAAGGATCCAATGCTGTGGGGCTAGGACCCTTCTCACTGGCCTTGATGCAGGATTAGGTGATGGGGTCCTTATGGCCCAGTCTTATTGGAAAACCTGGGAGGGGGGAAGAAATAGGTGTCCCAGGGAAATAGGACAGGGCTAGGGAAGGGTTTAGAGTGGCTGCTCTTCCAACCCAGGGGGAACAGAGGGTGAGGGGTTCAAAATTCAGTAGTGCTTAAGATTGAATTTTGAAACTGAAATGATCCCAGAGAAATCAGGGTGAGAAAGGTTCACGCAGCCCAAGCAAAGCCTCAAGTTGCTAAAACGTTGCAGGAGTTTCCATCCGTTTCTCCCCCTGGCACACGCTTGTTTCTGTCTGTATCCCCCTGCCACCACCCCCTCCCCACCAGTTCTGTCGCTGATGGCCCTGGGTTTCATAGAGTAAAAATTTTAAGGCCATTAGAGCATGTAGTCTGACCTGTATAACACAGGCCCTTGAATTCCACCCAGTTACTTCTATATTGAGCCCAGCAACTTGTATTTAGCTAAAGCATCTTTCAGAAAGACAGCCAGCCTGGATTTGAAGCCATCAAGTGATGAAGAATTCACAATTTCTTTTCCTCTCTAGTTTGTTTCAATGGTTTATAACCTCACTGTCTTAAAAATCTGTGCTTTATTTCTATTTTAAACGTCTGGCCTTATCTTCCAGCCATTGGTTCTTGTTTTGCCTTTCTCTGCTAGATTAAAGAGTGCTTTAGTACCCAGTGTCTCAGTCTTCTTTGTGATAACTTTAAACAGACTGATCTCTTTGAGTCTGGCACTGTAAAGGCATTTTGTTCAGCCCTTACATCATTTTATGGCTCTCTTCTGCATCCTTTCCAATTTTTCAACACTTTTAAAATGCAGACACTGAAAATGGATGTAGTATTCCATATCGGTCTCACCAATGTCCTATACAAAGATAAAATCATCTTCCTGCTCTCTACACTCATGTTTATATCTCCAAGGACTGTATTGGCCCTTTTGCCACAGCATCACACTGGGAGCTCATGTTGAGTTACTTGTCAACTATGACCCCTAAATCCTTGTCAGAGTCCCTGCTTTCCAGGATATGCTCCCCAGGGCTTTGGACGGAGCCCGGAGCGCGGAGCAGTGGAGCTGCAGGTTTTTGCCCAGAGCTGGAGCAAAGCTGTAGCAGAGCTGTAGCAGTCACTATTGGTGCCGGAGCGGAGCTGGAGCAGAGCAATTCAAAAATTTGATTGCTCCAAATCCCTGGCCTCCCTTAGTCTGTAGGTCTGACCTGTATTCCTCCTTCCTACATGTATAACTTTCTATTTGGCTGTATTAAAAAGCATTCTATTTGAATGGTCCTAGCTTACTAAGTGATCCAGGTTGTTCTGTATGGCTACCTTGTCCTCATCATTATATGCCACTTTGTCAGTCTCTTTGTAATCTTCAAATCTGATCAGTGGGTTTTTTATATTTTCTTCCTGGTCTTTATAAAGATATTGAATGGTGTTGGGCCTAATATCTATCCCTGCAGAACTTCACTAGAAATACCCCCTTCCAGGATGATCTGTCAGTTAGCCAGTTCTTAATCCTTTTAGTGTGGCTTGATATTGTATAGTGCTCATTTTAAAACCAGAATGTTGTGACATACCAAGGTACAATCCAGACCAATGAGTATCTGTCACCCCTGCCCTGTAACCTGGGGTGCCCTTTGCACTGCTTTGCTGCTGGAGCCGCCAACCTGGACTGCTCACAAACAGCCTGCAGTATGTAAGTCACTCCCAGCTATGTCTGTGTGTGCTGCAGTCAGCCAGCCACCCCTTGGCTCTTACCAGCCTTACAGAGTCCACAGGGTGAGCCCAGCACATTCTCAGTCCCAGATCTTTCCCCAGAAACATATATCTGTGCTGTCCAGCCATCTCCTGGACAGTGCAAATATATTGAGTCTGTTCTTCTTTTGAAAAAATAATATGCACACAACTTGTTACCCCAAATGGTGTTCCTGGACATTCCAGCGAACACATTAAAACAAGTTTATTAACTGCAGAGAAAAAGATTGTAAGTGAGTACAAGTTATGAAGTGTAAAAGTCAGAATTGCTTACAAGAAAAATAAAGGTAGAATGCTATCTGGGTGCCCAACCTAACTTTGCTTTGAATCTAATATACACCTCTACCCCGATATAACACGACCCGATATAACATGAATTCGGATACAATGCAGTAAAGCAGCGCTCCGGGGGGGGGGGGCGGCGCACTCCGATGGATCAAAGCAAGTTCGATATAAAGCAGTTTCACCTATAACGCGGTAAGATTTTTTGGCTCCCGAGGACAGCGTTATATCAGGGTAGAGGTGTAGTTTGTTTTCTCACCACATGCTTTCAGCACTCTTACTAACCAAACTCATAGGTCGTGACCCTCCCCCAGAATCCAACAGCTGCCTCCTTTGTCTCTTCAGGTGCAGAGAAAGCAATAGGCAGGGAGAGAGAGAGGGGTGCCTAGGATGTTTGTCCCAACTTTTTATAGTTTCAGTCCCCTCTTGAAAAACATTTCTAGCTGAGACCCAGAAGACAAAGAGTCTGTGTGGAAGGATATTCCCTGCTGGGCTTTTTTCCACATGTTTGAACTTCTTTGTTTTCTCTCCTTGCTTGATTTACTACTTAAATCGAAATTAAGCCAAGTAGACATTCCTTCCTTTATTTAGGACAGACCTGACTTCTATCTGGGCAGAGCTGTGTGATTTGGAACATTTAGGCTATGTCTGCACTACAGACCTTACAGCGACACAGTAATGCTGCAGCTGTGCCACTGTAAGGTCTCCCGTGTAACTGCTCTATGCCAACAGGAGAGAGTTCTGTCATCGGCATAATTAAATCACCACCAATGAGCGGCAATAGCTGTGTCAGCAGGAGAGCGTCTCCCACTGACATAGTGCTGTCCACATCAGCGCTTCTGTCAGTGAAATTTGTCGGTCAGGGGAGGTGTTTTTTTTGCACCCCGACCGATAAAAGTTTTTCCAACAAAAGTGCTAGTATAGACATAGCCTTAATAACATCATACGAGGGAATCTTAGAACTTCATATACAATGTTGCCACACATTTTATCAGGACAATACTGACCGGCAAATTGAGTTTTCAAATGATACCTTACAAGGCATACTTTGTACAAAGATTATTACAATAGTGTATTGGATGTGAACATAGGAGTGTATTATATCATAGTGGTACTAAGTCAAACTCTTTCTGAACAAAAACCTGTATGTTACATCTGTGCAGTTACCTGTATCAACCAAACTTGTCATCTCATCAAAGAATGAAATCAGGTTTGCTTGACAAGACCCATTCTCCATAAACCACTTTGACTGGCCTTAATTGTGTTAACCTCCTTTAATTCTTTAAAAAGAAGAACAGGAGTACTTGTGGCACCTTAGAGACTAACAAATTTATTAGAGCATAAGCTTTCATGGACTACAGCCCACTTCTATGC